CTTTAACTTAGGGATGAAATAATGCAAATGAAGGGACATTTGGGTTCAATTTTAAAATAATTAGAAATTAGTAACACTTTTATAAAGTTTGGGAAAAAAAGATCACATCAAAATGCTTGAGGACAGTGCTGGCATTTTGCTACTAAAATATGTGATCACTGAATGATTCGGTATGCTCATAAGAAATGCTGTCACCACGTATTAACGTCAACTACAGGTTGTCGAAAACTATTACTTGCAACTGTTGTAGTTAGACTAGAGTTGTTATTGAATTTTCTGACACTTGAATTTTGTGTGTGTGTTCAATTTTCGTACAATGCTAAGACAATAAATCACTCTGCGAATTTAATTTTTGTCACGTAACACTTCTCATTTATTTACATATGTAGCACCTAATATTCATATTCGCGTGCGCAACACTCAGTTTTTAACATCTACCATGATGACTATTTTCAAAAAATAAAATACATTGTTTCATGCACAAATTTATGCCACTAATTTATATAATCATGTAAGTGTATGCTTGTCACATTGGCCTTGTGGTTGGCTGTTTTGTCTTTCAACTGTAATATCTCGAATTCAAGGTCTTAGAAATGCGGTGTCCGTAAAAAATTAAATTAGTGTAAAGATCAAACTTTACGTGGCTCATTGCATGCACATGATGTTTATATATATATATATAAGAAAAACAGTTGTGCAGGAGCATATCATATAAATAGTTTTGTGAGATATGATGTCTATATGTTTGAGCCTTTTTAAATATACAATATTTTGAATACTTATTTCATAACATTATAATTAAATTTATCTTGTAACATAATAAAAATAAATGGTCAATTAATAAGCTTATGACCACAAGTATGTAAGAGAAGTTGATGTTGGTCATAGAATTAAGTGAAATTATATTATTAACTACAAATAAGGAGTGAAAGCCAAATGATGTATAATGAAGAGGGTAAAACATCATTCCAAGCTAAAATTTAAAAGAATCCAAGTCATATGAAAAAGGCACACATGATGAATGATCGCATCAAGTTCAATAATTGGATTGACAACAAAGATGAAAAAATCTCGTTTATCTATAGCACATATTTAAGGAATAGATACACTCACCTATAGAAGCTTATGAGACATTTTATTCAAAATCTAAGGTCTATACTAGACAGTTTTTTACATGTTTTATTGTTCAGACTGTCACCATAGTACTGTTTGAGAAACTATTTTTTTGTTGTTTTCTAGATATTTCAATGGTAAGAACCTGTTTTTCCAACATGAGCTGTGGATATAAAGTTATCATGAAAAATTTAACTAGAGATTATATATCATTACATTCCAGAGGACAAAGCACTTAAAAAACCAATAGAAAGAGCATCAACACCAACCAACCCATAGCGTAGATTTTACTTAATATTATTGAATATTATAATTATTTTGTTATGATTAAAAAGTAATAATCGGACCAAAAAAATATTTAAAAAAAACTTCAAAACATATATGGTTTCATAAAATTCTCTCCACTCCAATCATATAGATTAACTCAAAGCTTCAAAAGACACCTCAAAGCCTTCCCATCTGAAAGCAATTGAAAGGCTTGGTTGATCTCAGAGAAGGGCAGCTCATGAGATATAAACCCATTCAGATTTATTTTAATTTCCTGCATTCAAAATAATCATATTAATCCTTATACTTCATATATAAATAGAACCATATAAATAATATTATTACAAGAAGATAAAATTTCATAACCACAAAAGAATTAATGAGTTGTATAATACTAACCTCAGTTAAGCACTTGCTGATTAAATCTGGCAACTGAGACTTTGGTTTGAAGTCGCCAAACACAGCAGCGACTATCTTCCTCTCAAACAGCTCCATAGGATGCAGCGGTAGTAATTTAGGTGATGGGTGGACTCCCAGAATCACGGTTAATCCCCAACCCTATGGTTAACCATCAAATATAAGAAAGAATTATTTGATAATTAGTGTATAGTCTAAACTTTCTCCAAGAGTTAAATATACAAATATTTTATTAAATATAAGATTACCAGATGAGTTGACAGAAAAGCCTCGCGAAGAACATCTAGATTCCCAGAGCACTCAAAGCTGTAATCAACTCCACCTTCTGTCAATTCCCTCAGCACCTGCAATCCACCATTCATCCATTAATGATGTTGAAATTCTTATCTGTATTTTAAATGCTGCTCATTTGGCAGCTAGAAAATTTTAATGCTTGTGGTCCGTAATTGCTCTGTTTCTTAAATGTTGAACAAATCAAATTATGCAAAAAGACCAACACAACCATATCATTAAAATAAGTAAATAGATAATTTAATGACAACCTCATGTAAGGGTTTTGTGCACTCCATTGGGTTTATGAAATCTGTGATACCCATTTCTCGTCCTACAAAAAACATAGAAAACCAAGCAAGCGGTGGAAAGGAAAGATTAGCTGAATCGATAAGAAAAAAGGCTTTAAAAATTAGATTTTTTTTTATTAGGATAAGTTTTAGGATTAGTTGATATGTTTTTAGATAAGAGTAAATATAGATTTTGATTATTTTTTCATATATGACACTCATATGATCAATTCAAATTCAAACATTAAGAGAAATGTTAATATAAGTTGGTCAAAATAATCTAACATAAATATTTTACCGTTAAATAAATCTAAATAGTATTTAAATTTGAAAAATATATTCATTTTTTAAAAATTATTGCAAAAATAACTTGAAGAGATGTCCTTAGTGATAAGTTTTTAATTATATTCAACAAAAAAAATTAATAATTATGATTAAATAATTATTTTTAGTCACAAATATTCCTTGATAATCATCAATTCCTACAATTAAAAATTAAAAAAATATTGCTAAAATACATTACTTATATTTTTTATTTTTTAAAAAATATTATCACTCAAAATTTGGTAGAATATTAATTTTGTATTAGGAAGATAACATATTTATTGGTATATAAACATAATTATGTAGGTACAAGGTTAATCGAACAGTTTATAATCCAATATTAATTACTAATTAATTATTTTTCTTATTAATTTTAATTAAATGCTAAAATCTTAAAAAAAGAATTAAAAGGACGAATTCTCAACAATGGAAGCACGACTTTCATTTAATTTCTTAAACCTATATTTGTGCTTAAGAATTTGTTTTAGGAAAATTTACATACATACCACTCAATGCATATACATGTATTCACATATCTAACCCTCATACTTAAATTTTTACATACATACCCTCTATCAATGCATAAAAAGAAATGATGATATTTTATGTGAAATGAAGATTTGGATGGTAAATATAAAAACAAAAATTTTAGGTATTCGACATGCAAAAACATAAGAATTGGGTGGTTTGTATGTAAATGCCCCTTTTTTATTATTTCTCTGAACTTTCTCGTGCAGTACCGACAGATGATGTAATTTACTGAAGAAAAAAACACAGAAACTTCTTCAAAATATTTAATGTTACATTTGTCTTTATTCATATACTTCAGCACATGATATATGTTTTTTAAATTTCTATTGGTTTTCTAACGCAATAATTATAAAAAGGTACCTTTCACAAACTTATTTGGATTAATGTCAATTCCAATGATCCGGGCAGCTCCTCTCAGCCGTGCTCCTTCGGCAACCTATTAAACATCGCGCCCCCCATACCATTTAATAATTTAGATGTTTGAAACGAATGTAATTTACATTTTGTTTTGGGGCAGATTATAAATTTTAATATTTTTACAAATATTAGCAAAGATCCTCACAGCAAGACCCACTGCTCCGAGTCCGAAAATTGCAACCTTTGACCCCTTCTCCACGTTGGCTGTGTTCCACGCCCCTCCAATCCCTTGTCATTTTAAGAAGGGAAAAAAAACAATTTTTATTTACTTTTATGTATTATAGGACTAAAATGAAATATACAATTAATCAGGGACTATTGTAATATCTTGCCAAACAATATTTTATTTACACTTTCATACCCGTAGAGATGCCGCAACTGAGAAGGCACATTCGGCTGAGCGGCGCGTCGGTGGGGACTCTCACCACACAGGCGGAGTCTATGACCGTGTATTCAGCGAAGGTGGACGTGTTCAAGAAGTGATGAACGGGCCGTCGCTCTCCATCGGGCCCAACCCAGTAGAATCTGACCCTCCCGTCGGCCCGCATCACGCTCCGCATTGCGTCCACCGCGTAGCCGGCGCACATATTGGTCTTCTCAGATCGACACGCAGCACAATCTCCGCATTCGCCGTTGAAAACCGGCACCACTCGGTCACCCGGTCTCAAGTCCTCAACGCCCTCCCCCACGCTCTCCACCACCCTAAATTAATTAAATGAAGGTAGATTAGTGCTTAATTAGCGTTTTAATTATAATTAACATGTAAGCATATATAAATTATTTACCCCGCCGCCTCGTGGCCCAGGACACGAGGGAAGACCTGTTGTTGTTTGTTCTGCGCGAAAAAGATTGATTTTATTATATTAGATAAGATAAATTAATATGAAAACAAGCAAAAACAATATTAAACATTTTATTATATTTTATTTTGGCAGATAAACATTTTGTTATATTTTATTTAAATGATGATATTTTTTAAAATTATAAATAAACTTCTTAAATTTCTAATTCTAAATATTTTCCCATTTATAAGTAATATTTTTTAAATATTAAGTCTATATTTACGCTGCTCTGAGTGCAGACTCCAGTAATATGCAGCACGTGGAAATTATTGTGGGATTTTTGACGTGAAATTGTGAAGACTATTGAGGAGTTGTTGGGGGATTATTGGGTGTTAATGCAGGTGATATTAAAATGAAACTGATGAGACTATTTGATGGTTATTGGAGTAGAACCACAAAGGTTATGAAGAAGTTATTGAGGGTTTATTGCGGTGTTATTGAAGTTAATGCCCCAATAATGCCTCAATAAACTCTCAATAATCATCCCAAATAATCTTCATGATTCTACTCTAATAACCTCTGAGGTTTCACTTTAATTTTTTTTAGGTGGGCCCAATATAACATTAACACAACAAGGTATATTGCTAGAGACCACATGTAAAGCTACATAAGTATTCAGTATGGGATAATTTCTCCTAACTTTGTTAGTACCTCGCCCTTCCAAGCGCTGAGGTCGGTGTGGCAAATCGAGGTGAAGAGAATTCGAATCCGGACTTCCATGCGCTGAGGAGGCTCCACCTCTATTTCCTCCATTTTGAAGGCTTCTCCCGGCCAGGTCCCCAAACCACAGCCGCTAAATTAACCACAGAAATTAATCAATTAATCACTCATTAATTGAAAAAGCTCTTGCAGCTAAAACACTTCTAAAAAAGTGATTACGATCCTAAGTGCTAGGTATGAATTACCTTTGCATGTGATAACTTTTCCGGCCGTTTTATCTCCGGCGTCCCCGTTCTCTCCGGCGTGGAAGCCATTGGTGTTCTCTGAGTTGAAGCCCGCCATCTCTGTTATCCTTCTGTGTCTTCTGTGTGCTATTCGCTGTGCAGATGGGGATGGCTATAAATAGGGAAGATGGTAAGGATGGCGATGTAATTATATATGGTCATCTAGCTGAATTGGTTGAGGAATTTAT